GAAAAACTCCCCACTGCCCATGAAATTCTTGCTGGACCAAAAAAAGGTAGATTGGGGACTAAGCAGAGAGAAGATAGGAAAAAGAAAAAAGTGAGGTGTTGGAGGGGAAAGTGGAAGAGGAGCTTAGGCAGAGGCCAGAGTGGGGTAACGGGGATGTGAAACCCAGTGCAAGGACAGGCAGAGATGATGAAGACCCACATTTTTGCAGGGAGGCTGTGGGCATCTGGGTTGTGAGGAGTGAAGAGGCATTAAAGCTGAGAGTAGAAGAAGAGAGGGAGGAGGAAAAGGAGAGAGAGGTCAGATAAACGTCTATAAAACAACACCCATCACCACTGAGAACAAGTACAAAAGAATCCTTTTTTTCTTCTTGAGAAAGACAAAGGGAATTTTAAGTAGGATTAAGTAGTAGTAGCTTTCCGAACTCAGCAGCTCTCAGAAGCAATAATAACCACATAAATAGCTAAGTGGATGGTAGGAATCGCTTCACTTTGGAATCTGGCCAGCATATCAAAGTTAACAGTAATATCACATCTTTCTGAAAGCTTTCCTGAGATTCTAGGGGGGGAAATCATCTCAGAAAACTGTTTGCACCAAGTTAATTTTAGGAAGAGGATGCTCCTCACTGCTTGAAGACATTCTATCTCCTGAAAATTGATAAGACAGAAGCCCTACCCTGCTGGGAAGCACTCTTTTATCCATGTAAATACATTGCCAGTATCACCCCCAATGGAAGCGAATAATTACGTTCACGGATTATCATCGCCTAATGTAAAATTTTACTCAGAATATAACCCACAAATGATACCCTAAATGCAGCAAAAAGTCCCTCATAGATATCCTCTTTCACACAGTTCTCTAACTTTTTGACTCACTGTGGATGGTTAAACACGAACTCTGTAAAGTCCAAATTTTGAAACACAGATATCTGTATACATTCATTTCTGAATTTGGTGGGATTGGACAAATTGGAAATATAAATAATTTTCGAACCCTGGACACCTCTACTCCGTGAATACCCATAGATTTTCCTTCTTAATTTGACCACTGACGTGTTAGATCATCTTTCCTCCCCCAAAACAGATATGAAAACTGCGTTTGATGGTAATTTGGGGCACAAACATCTCTCAACATCTGGAAATATTCACGTGTTACCACTTCAAGAAAATTAACTTAGAACATTGCATAATTTATTTCTTTCCCACCCAGAGACAAGTTATTTCAGTATCACTCACAATTACTTGGAGTAAACACCATTTTAAAGGAACTGGACATAGGTCTTACTGACAGACTTTTACAATTTTAGCCAAATAAATAAAAGGAATATGAAGCAGACATGCCATCAAGTGTGGACTATACCACAACCTCAGTCAGTATTATGCCTGAAATATATACAGATATATTTATCTGTTTATATAATCTGATATATCAGATATACACCATCTACAGATGCTAAAAGGATGTCAACATACATCAACTTTGTTTTTTATTTATTTTTATTTTTTTAATGTTTATTTATTTTTAAGAGAGAGAGAGAACAGGGGAGGGGCAGAGAGAGGGAGACACAGAATCCGAAGCAGGCTCCCGGCTCTGAGCACAGAGACGGACTTGGGGCTGGAACCCACAGACTGAGATCATGACCTGAGCCAAAGTTGGACGCTTAACTGGCTGAGCCACCCAGGTACCCCTCAAACCCCTAATAAGAGTTTAGAGAAACTTGTTATTCTGAAAACAAGTCTATTAAAAAGTTATGATTACTTTATAACTAATTTCCTAGTTATTAGTTATAAATACATAAAACGAAGTTCATCCACTTCATTACTTCATTGAATGGTAGACTTTCATTAGTATGATCTAAATGATAGGATGTGACTGCACACAGACAGTAACATTCAGAAGTCAGAATTAAGCACAGTGTAAAATATACCTGAATGAAAACACAGAAGGTACTCCATAAACTCCCCTTTCAAATCCTTCTATAAACTGGACCTTCTTTATTTCCCATTATTCCTTAACATGCACCCTTCTTTCCAGTAAGCTGGACCTCTTCACTGTCCTTCGTACACATCTCCATGGCCTGTGCTACTCTGTGCCTTTGCCCTGCTGCTGGCCCATCTTCTCCCTCATCTTGATGTTCTCTCTTAAATCTTTCTTATCAAACTCTCACCTCTTCCGTGAAGTTTTGAATTTTCCAACCTAAACTTACAGTCATACATCTTCTGAAGTTCCACAATATCTATGTCCAAATTTAGCTTTTAATGATGGGATTTTTCCTCCTCTGCTCATATACGATTTTACATGTACCTTTTTTTCCCCCTAACTAAATCACATTATTTAAAGGTAACACCTCCCTCTTGATGCCTCTCCTAAAGTTTCTGTCAAGATCCTATCCCACAGCTAATTTTTACTCCTTCTGATTGCTATTTTTATCTGACAAGATGCTCAAATGTGCCCTACCCTAAACGAAACATCTGTAACCCCACTTCTTTCTTTCTGAAGGGTTTTACCATACCTTTCTTTCCTTGCCAAACTTTTTTTAAAAAATCCTTCTTTCCTCCCCTTCCTCTATTCCAGCTCTATCTTATAACCTCACGATCTGAGTCTGTCACACTCCTGATTCCTCAGCCATACCTCTCAGCAGCACTGAAACTGCACGCACCCCATCTTTTCTCCTGCACGCTGGGAGGGCATGTCCTTCCCCAAACCCATCATGTTCTGCTGCCCTTCCTGATTCTTCTCCTAGAATCTTCAGTTATCATCCCTCAGCTCTGCTCCAAAAAGTTCTGGCAACTGCATCCCTGCCCTTGCCTTTAACTTCCAAGTCTCCATCTGCCACACACGAACCTGTATTATTAGTGCTGAATTCTCTGTGGGGTCTCAGACCTTATGCTGCCACCTGCTGGGCAGTTCCATGGGGCTATCTCAAAAACAAATTCAAGTTTGTCCCCTCCCAACCTACCATTCATTGTCTTCTCTGCGAACTAATTACATTACCTTTTTCCTAGTCCTAGCTGGTAGAGATTTTACATTCAGAATCTCCATTGCTTACCCCCACCCCACTGCTAGTCACTCACCATATACTTGCTGTAAATACTACTTTCCAGGACTTTTTTCCTCTGTGTTCTGCCCTGATTTGCACATCCCTGTTTAGGCTGTGACTGCCTATCACCAGGACTACTGGAAGGGCCCTGACTAATCTTTCACCTTCCTCTCTCCTGATCTGCAATCTTCCTCATACTTATGCCAGAAAAATCTGTTTGAAACAGGTATCTGAGCAACGCCCTAGACAAAAAGCCTCGAATAATTCTATTCTACAGGTAGAATAAAACCCAAAATCCCCAGCTCTGGGGTTTCTGGAAAGAACTTGAAGAACTTGCATGACACAACCCCAGCCACTCTCCCTCTTACTTACTATCCTCCCTCACTCACTCCAGCCGCCTCACTCACTCCAGCCCCCACTCCAGTGGGGGATTTTTATCCCCCGCTATGGCTTGAACAAGAGCCTTGCCCTAGATCCTGGAATGGCTTGCCATCATATCTTCACATGGCTGACAACATCTTGCCCTTCAGGTCTCATCTCAATGTCACCTCCTTAGAGAAGCATTCTCTGACTGCACAGCCTAATGGCCACCCTCCCTGCCGACACCACCTGGTCAGCCCTTCGCATTTATCCCCCTTGTATTTCCCATAAGCACATCTCAGCATCTGGAAGTATCTCTTCATTTATATGTTTACTTCTTTACTGTCTGTCTCCTCACACTGGAATGTAAGCCCCATGAGCACAGACCTCATCTCTGTTTGCAGATCCTGGAAGGGGGCCTGGCACACAGGAAACCTAAAGTCAGACTCTCCACAGCATGCCGCCGACTTTTCACATCCCCAGCCTCATTCTATGTCTGCTCTAGCACTTATCATATTATGTCTTCTACTGAGCAGCTATTGCCAAATGAAATAATCAGAGGGAAAGGAGGATATATCAAAACATGAGAACAAGGAGTAGGTGAGGGAGGGGTATATAGTTATAAAATGCTCACTCAAGTTTTGTAGTATTCAGTACAGAAGATTTATGCATCTTTGTTAAAATTATCCCTAATCTTTTATGGTTTTTGATCCTGCTATTAACAGTATTATTTAAATTTCATTTTCCACATATTAGTTTCTATAAAAAAAACTATAGACAGCTAGATAGATATAGATATAGATATAGATATAGATATAGATATAGATATAGATATAGATATAGATATAGATATAGATAGATAGAGATAGAGATAGAGATAGAGATAGAGATAGAGATAGAGATAGAGATAGAGATAGAGATATAGAAAAAGGTTTTTTATATTGACCTTGTATCTGTGGTTTGGTTAAATTGACTAAGTTCTAAGTAATTTTTAAAATTCCATAGGTGGTTCTATGTACACAATCATGTTATTTAAAAATTTAAAAAAATGTTTCGTTCTTACATTCAAAATATGCGCATTTAATATCACTATTATTTTTAAGCACAAGATACAGAAGGTAAAGCATAAAAAAAATCATAGCTGCAAGAGCTATGCAGGATATGGGGGACAATCATATTACAGGGGACATGCATTGAAATAGTGCAAGAAAACCGCTGTCTTAGAGCAATGCATTATGATCCTTCATCTTAACTACATGTTAAGTTCCTGGAGACCACTATTGTTTCTTGATTTTTTTGTCTATATCCCACCAAGCCTATTAAAGTGCTTTGCCCATAGTAGAAACTCAATAAATGTTTCTAAATAGAATTCAAACACACCAGTGTTGGACACGTTGCATGTGATCAAGAAATACTTGTTGACTGTAAGAACCAATGAATACACATAAGTTTGTTGAATGATCAGTGTATGCTCAATCCTGCTGAGAAACTGATAAGAAACTTGAAGAAATAGGAGATACTTTGATCATTATCCATATAGAAAAACTTCATTTTTCAGTTAATGATAAAACAAATGCACGAAGGGAAACATTTCACTGGTTACCTGTGCATTTCTTTATATGAGTGTTCCTTTTTCCATGTGATCCTAACTTGCATCCAAAATTCTCCTCCCAAAATTCTGCGAACCACACATTTCTTCGATTATTGGCAAGAGTTCGGCTTCTAAAGTAGCGATCAAACCCTATTTTAGAGAGAAAAGGTATGATTTTAATATTCTTTCAAAATCAAAACCAAATACTGTCAGAGCTTTTGAATGGCTATTATGTCAGACATTTGAATGAATATGTTGTGATTATTGCATGAAAAAAAAAAAACCCAAAACGTATTAACAAATGGGGAAGAACCAATAGCCCAGAAATTAGTCTTCCCATATGGTAAAAGCCAAGGGTAATCAACAGATAATATCATCACCCTCACTCTTCACCATTGAGTCACCTGGCTGTATAGATGAACATAACAGGAGGGCCTGTTAATGTCATCATCACAACCTCCCCCTCTCCTCTACATCACAGTGACCAGCGACATTCTGCTATATATTCAGAACCAACTCAGACTTTTCTCATTCTTCTCTCTCTCTCCTCAGAGGAGTCTATGTTCCAGGTTGCTATGCTTCTTCCTGACCCAAAATGTATCTGTCCTAGATGTTCCATTTTTCAGCTAATCCAATAAACTAACTAGCTCTGATGTAGTCTTATGCAGTCATGGGTAACGGGCTAATGTGTTAGCCTGCTTGGGTGACACCTCATAAAAGAGAGATCACCTGGAACTAATGTTTTACTCCAAAAGATAATGGGGAAGGTAGGAATTTCAGTCACTGCTAAGATGATTGGAAATGATATCTTGGAGACAAACTTCCTCTCAGGGAAGCTCCATATGTTTGCTGTTGCATTTACTTATCTATAGGGTCAGCCCAGTCTCACATCTCCATTTTATAGAAAGCAAATACTCTCCCCATGACAATGCAGTAACCATCATCTATGCCATGGAAATGCGCAAGCTTAGAGGGCAACATCACGGAAAGGGCTAACATCATAGAAATATCTAAGGCCAACTATAACTCCCTTTTTTAAAGAAAAAAATCTAATGGGTATTCTTTTCTAATGAAAAATATATATTGAGTTAAATAGTTACTGTCTTGGCATTTCTACCATCAGAATTACAAATTCTATCCAGAATCATCAACCACGGGTACATTTCATCATATGCTGGTATTCTGGTTTTGCCTTGGAGTTTTGATTCAATTGGAATGAAACAAATTTTCTATGGCTTGTCCTTACCATCAATTGATGCCCTTTTGGGCAGAATCGTCACCGCTCCTTCTGCAATCTCCTCCTGCTGATAAACAGGTGCTATTTTGGATCCCCAACTATCTGAGCCAATCCAGAGAAAATGACCACTTTGGTTTAATTTTTTCGCTGCTTCCAATATCCTCCTACAGGAATAAAAAGAAATAAAACATACCATATTTCTCAAGAAACACACTTATGAATGTTATAAGACCAGATATATTGAATTATATACACTCAGTAGGTCAGTGTTAAACAATTAGTCAATCACTAACTGCCTGAGTCTTATCATTTCTAAAGGAAACATATTGACACCTGCTAGTTAGCCTTATCCTTAACCTCACTCACATTATTCTGTCTATCATCCTTACTTGTCTCATTTCTTTCAGCCCCCAAGTTTTACTTTATAGACATTTCAGACTTAGGAACTAGAAGGCTGTTGTGTCTCTGTGCAGCAGAAGGCAATATGTAACTGCATGAGAACGCTGCAATTCCTGTGAAATCTCACAAGATTTTACACTGAACATGAAATATGTTAAAAAAAAAAAAAAAAAGGATGTGGATTGCACATCTGATCCAACATCAAGAAGAAAATTAATCCGCACCTGATGTCATCTTCATTGGCAAACATAATCACTGCCCGAGCATTAGGTGTTTCTAGCAGGCGTTTGATAATTTTTTCAAATTCTCCAGGTCTTGGTTCACGTGGGATTTTCTGTGATTGAGCAATGCAAACACCACCTATTTTAAAAAGAGAGAGTGACTCAGAAATGGCACTTATTTAATTAACCAATTTAATGAGGTTAGCTATTTTATAAAAACGAATGATTCAATGCAGTATGTTTTTCAAAACTTTCATTCTCACCTATTAAAAGCAATCATGTTTGTTGCATTACAATATATATATCAAATAAATGACATCAATCATTTAATCATACATCAGGGTTATTGCTTTATTTTCCAAGCTTAAAGATTATTTTTGTGGATGTCTATAATAAAGCTAAAGTGTACAAAATGTGTAATGACAGTCAAGGAGTGCAAAGAAGAATGGCTGTTTTGATTCATTTGATGTTAAGTTGAAAAACAAGTGCCTGGATTAATAAAAAGTGTGAGTATGTCTTATAGGTGAGACCACCTATTAAGTAAAAGGATCCTTTTGCTATTTTATCTATTTGTAGACCTGCTTTAAAGTTAATTTCATTTTACAGCTCATAGTATTACAGCGAAAGTTTTATGTATCAGCAAAATGATATGTTATGAAACAAGCAGTCTTCAAAACTATTTGAGACACAGGCAAGTTCCAAAGATGCAGACCCTCAGTTGACATTATGTCTCCACCAAGAAAATCAAAATGGCAGCAATCCCATCCCTCTATCACAGAAGGAAGGAAGGAAGGAAGGAAGGAAGGAAGGAAGGA